GTTTTTTTTTTTTTTTTTTTTTTCCGATTCCACAGTATTTGGCTTGCATGCTTCATAGTTTGTGGTTTGGAGTCATGGCCATTTCTTTTTTTTCACTGGAGATGGACATTGGCTATCTGTTTTGCATTCTTTCTTGCTTGCAATGAGTTTTGAGGGAAAAATGAAAAGTAAGAATGTCCATTCACTGGTATGTTTAATAGAAATAGCTGGTTGTATGGAATTCTGCCCTCGGTCTTACTAAGTCTAAGACTGCCCATACTTCCATTAAGTTTAGAAGTTTCAGAGATGATGGATTGCTTTGTTTGTTCAACCACATAACAATGTTTTGATCAACTTCTTTTCTCCATTTAAATAACTTCTCCTTGCCTATGCACCCAGTGCTTCTGTCTCCACAAAGGAACTGCTTTCCAATGTAATGTAATGATGTATATCAAGAAAACATAACCTAAAATATGTAAAACTTTTCTCTTTTTTAAACACTTATTTAATACCATAGATGGTTTATCTTTGCAAAATTATCAGAGGTCTGAGTCTTGTGTTTATGAATTAGCCAAAAGGAGAAGAACTAACTTACATGAAGTACTGCACAGTATAAGTAACTTCAACTCCTTGTAGACCCTCTGGCGGATTCCATTGTAGGACATTCTTCATGTTTATGGATAAGAAGGTGATGTTTGTTGGTTTAGGCAAACCACTAGAGACACAGGGAACTGAAAAAGGAGTAGACAGGGATCAAGGTCTTAGTGGAGGAAAAGGAAAACATAATCCCTGTAGTAGCTAGTCTCCAGAGATGGCCCCCAGTGAACCATGCCTTCCAGTACTCACGGCCCTTGTGTTTCCTCCCAAACTGAACCTGAGTCGACCCTATGACTTACTTCAACCAAGAGAATGTGGCAGAAGTGGTTCTGGAACTAAACCATAAGGCAGTCTGGGAGCTTCCATTTCTGCCCTTTTGAAAGCCCTGAGTTGGCATGTAAAACAACAGCTAACCTGCTTGAAAGACATGCCGAGGGGTCATGTGAAGGAGAGGCTCAGTTGTCTCAGTGTCCCAGCAGAGCCCAGCCTTCCAAGTAAGGGGCCAGAATGAAGTCATTATGGTCTTTCCAGTCCCATACACCATAGACTGAAGCTTTATGAGAGACCCCAAATGGGACCAGCAGAAGAACCATCCAGCTGAGCCCCAGTCAACCCCCAAAATTGTGAGATATAATAAAATATTTTTTTAAAACCACTAAGTGTTGGGGTAGTTTGTTCTGGAACAGCAGAAAACTGAAACAAACCATTTATTAAATACAGAAATAAAATTTTGGATAGATGCCTCTGAAAAGCCAGAGTTTCAGAGGCTGGAGTTGGCTTTACTAAGGTATATAATGAAGCAATAATTAGAAAAGGAACCAGTGAAAGAAGACTTACTTTATTTAATTAAACACTGATATGTTCACATAACTGTACTCAAAGAAAAACTGTTTCTTAGAGGATTTGTAGAAATTCTCTGTACAGAAATGATAAAAAATTGAGAAACTATCAAAAAATTAGAAAATAACAAAAAAAGTGGATGATACTTTCTTATAAAAGAAAACAAGAATAGTCTTCAGATTAAAATAAATGAAAAATATCGTGGTAACATGTAGAAATCAAAATATTAATTTAAAATATTGGAAAGATCACAAAGTACTGAGTAATAAACAATCAAATTTTACAAAGGACTTATCCTGGCAATAAATATACACATTTTAGTCAATAAATTTGGGAAATTTCAAATTTTAATATCACAGATCAAACTTAGGAAATAAAATTTAGATCAGTCACTGAAGGCTGGTCCAATCTTGGCTAACTCCCATAATTCCTGTGTAAATTAGCTGGGACTAATGTCAAAGAAAGGAGTTAGTTTTATGCTTGGGGTAATCTGGCTAAGATTAGCTCTATACATGTTTTGCTGTAGAGGGTTAGAAATCTTGATTCTTATTTGATTATTAGATAGGGTTTTTAGGTAATGCATGCATGGGACAAAAGTCCTCAGATAGGAGACAAGAGCCTACAGCTAGAGGGCAAGAGCCCACCGAATCAATTGTAATCACTGTTTAGGTAAGGGATTGTATACACTGATTGTTAATATAATGAGTTCATTGGAATATTTTGTGAGGAGGAAACTGACACAATTCTAAAGCCTTTAATGTGAACAAGAGAACTGAAGGAAAATAGGGATTGTTCTGAGGGCAATAACCCTCAGTACAACAAAGCTTAAATGATGGGAAAAATATGTGAGTTAAGATTTCCATGGACGCTTTGCTAGATTAGTTAGTACATAGGAGTTTTTCCACATTTTGCTTTAAGCTGTTTCTTTGAGTTTCTCAAGAAGTCAGGCACTTTAATGATTATCCTATTGTTTCTTTTGCATGTCACATAGCTTAGCTCTATGACTCTTTTGATGGTAAATTGTTTATTTTGGACCATGCATACTTGGATGAAGGTTGTTACACAGCCAATTTCTTTATGTTCTTATTATGATTGGTTAACCATCTTTTCTTTTCCTGTAATTCCCTTGTCTTTACAATAAAAACTGAAGCAAAAACCAACTTGGGGCTGTACCCTGTTTCTCTTTCTAACAGAGGAGTTGCTGAGGCACAGTCCCTTTGGGCTTCTCATCGCATTCATGTTGCTTTGAGTAATTCTTTTGCTTCTCTGTTACATAGACAGAGGTGTAACATTTTGCATTTTCATAAGTCAAATGAAAATAATGAAAAAATTCTTTACTTTACAATTAAATTTTTAATGTGATCCTGATTCTAAGCAAAATAAGCTCTTTAACATATACCTGTTTGAGTGTGTGTGTGTATGCATGTGCTATATTTATAATGACTCCTGCTTTTAACCTTGAAGATTGTTTTTAATACCTCTATTTTATTTTTAAGAAGAAAGTTAAATATTCAAAGTGGGGCACATTAACTGATCACACATATCACAGTGTGCGTGTGGGCATGTGTGTAGTATGGGTAGGGAGATTCTCAAAAGAATCTCAAACAATATCTGTCTTTGATTTCTATTCTTCTAATTCTTTGGAATCATGTGTATCAACTAGTATTGGCATCTTCTGGAGATTTTGATAGTGAATGATTATCAGTGACAATACTGCTCTGTGGAATTACTAGTTTCTAAATTTTAATCAGGTTTTTAAAGATTAAACAGAGAACATGGGATGGTAGCATCATTGAGTATATTTTCCAATCCTTCAAAAATGAGAAACACTTTTAACATAAAAAATTCCAAGGATCTTTCCAGTTCTAAAACACTGTGGTTCGTTCTACAGTTTTAGATGGCCCTAACCTGTGAATGGTGGTTAGTGTCTTGTAGAAAATAAAATTAAAATAGATTGTGCATTATAATATCACTGACAGAAGACATTGCTAAAATATGGCTTTACAGAACTATCTAATAAGGAAATAGAATACTCCAATCTGTGGCAACATGAGCTTGGAGACATAAAACACAAGTTATCTTAGATATTATGGTCCAGGCATATTTTTTTAACATTTAATCTACACAAATCTTTATCTTTTACAACACTGGATTCTATTTTTCCTTTAATATGAGTAAACAAGTGGCAGAACTCTCAAGATGCTTAAAACATACCCAAAAAGTTTTAAAAAATAACTTGAAATTAAATAAATGGATTACTCATTTTATTTTAACGTAATTTAACTTTTTTTGGCTAATGTTATGAGGAAACAAAACAATTTTGCTCTTTTAAATGAACTATGCGCTGGAATGTGTTGTTAATCATTAATGTTCATTGACTCAGTAGACATCTTGATTAATGCTTTGTAATAGTTTAAATGATCCTTCACAAATGCTACACCAATTATCAAAATGTTATCCAACTCTGGTAATAATAGGTTAAATAAAGAGAATGAATAAACATGACAATAATAATATTAAAACATTGAATAATTTTCTTATCATGCCATTCTATTTTTTGAAAAGAAAATATATTTTATTATAAATGCTGTGAACTGTGTATACACCTCGTCTGCAAGCCTACATTATGGGTAAATCATATCTATCACCGCAATTGTGGTAGCTAGCCTCCAATAATCTCTTTCTCCTGGCATTCACAGCTTGTATAGTTCCCTCCCAAATCGTATCTGGGTTGGTCTGTGTGATCAATAGAATATGACAGATGTGATTACCGCTTCTGAGGTTAGTACTGTGGTTTCTATTTTTTTTCCTCTCTCTGGAAAATTTGCTCTGTGCACAGCCAGCTGCCTTGTTGTGAGCAGCCCTGTGGTCCATGTGGCAAGCAACTGAGGCTCCCATCGGCTGGTGAAGACCTGCATGAAGCCTCCTCCAAGAAGTACGTTAGTGATCAGGATCCTCTGGCCTCAGTTCCAGCCTTCAGATGACTGCAGCGCCATCCTATCTCTTGACTACACGTTTGTGGGAAACCCTGAGCCAGAACCACATGGCTAAGCCATTGCTGCACTCTTGACTCTCAGAAACTGTGTAAGATAATATTTCTTGTTTTAAGCTGCTAAATTTGAGATAATTTGTTATACAGCAATAGAGAACTAATACAAGAAAGAATCTAAAAATGAAAGAAACTAAGAGAGATCAATCACTAAGAAAAAGCAAATTAAAGTGGAAGAAGAAAAAAATGGCCCCTTCCATTCCCAGTAACGTTATAAATGACTTCTGCCTTAACAATCTTGAAAAATGTTATTTTTAATAGTTCAATTTCATCTTTCTAAAGAAAATTGAAAACCTAATGAGAAGACCAGAAACTTATCATCCTTTTAATAGCAAGTGAGGGTCATAGCAACACATCTTTGCCTTTTTAAAAAAAGATAAATGCTTGGTAAAGCTTATTGTAAATACACTGTCAAGATTTCAGAGTAGTAAACACCTTTAATAGAAATTCATTTAAAAATGGATGTTACTGTTTTGTACACTTTCTGTGGAAAGAATATTAGAGCTTTTAGTCCTGCAGATTCTTCATTTGGACTGACATTATCTTTCTGAATGCATAAACAGAAAAGATATCAGTTTTGGATCATCCTCTGTCAATAAATCAAATATTATCTAGGGGTAGCCCTGTCCTGAGGAAAGTAGGTCACATCTTGGTATCAACCCATTGCTAAATCTCCCTACAACAAAAATTATTCCTTGTTATGACATGGTCTGCTGGTTTCTGCAACATTTTTTTATTAGGGCAAATTAAGCCATGTTAGTCATCTTCCTTAATACCAGGCGCAGTACATCTTGTCCCTCTGCTCACAGAAAATTTATCAGTTCCTGTGGGTTGGTAGTAATTTGTTTTTATCAATTATAATTTTTGTTAATTATGGAATTTTAATGATCTGTCCTTGATCAATGAAAATAGATGGTTCTTACTACAGTAAGGTTTGATCTCTCTGCAAAGAAGAGTTATAAGAATTTTCACTTGGGTGAGTGTGGTGCTGACAACACCAAGTCAAGCGTTAAGATCCCCTTATCAGTCATCTTTTTTTTAAAAAAAGAATTCTCTCACAAGGACTGCTTGCTACCTTGGATTAGTTCTGGTTTCAGTAGGTCTTTTAGTACGATTAAAAATAATGTTGAAAGTGACTTCTATTCGTGACAGGCTAAGAGGCTCTGTTTTAATAGTAGATATAGTATGTACATAAAACTCAATTTGCACAAGAATTAAAAATATAATAAATACTGTTGAAAAC